TGGCAGACTGACTGACTGGCTGACTGACTGGCAGACTGACTGACTGGCAGACTGACTGACTGACTGACTGACTGACTGGCAGACTGATAGCCTGACGGCTGAAAATGACCGATTGACTGGCTAACCGACAGATTGACTGGTTGTATGACGACCGAGTGAGCAGCAACTCCCAGAATGCCAAGATGCTAAGAAATTAACTGTCTTCTCGTTCATCTTTTTACTACCTTCGTTGCAGCTCTGCTACTTTACCAATTACCATTCGCTGCGTTGAAGAAAAAAACGCTGTTGACCGACGTATAAGTCGCTTCGTTTTGCCCCTTGGTGCAACAGTCAACATGGACGGAACAGCATTGTACGAAGGTGTCAGCGCCATTTGGATAGCGCAGCTGAATCGCATTCCACTCGCGCCGGGACAAATTGTCACAACTGTGTAAGTTAACGAGTTTCTGTTTGTTACGCAAAATTTCCACAGGCAAGTCTTACTTGTACATAGGATAAGAGAACTTACTGACTTGCTCGTAAATCAAGTACCTTCTCACAATTTCCATTTTGTAGTTCTCCATTTTTTTTTTCCGATTTCCACTCAATACGCATCTGAACAGAATGTTACAACTGTTTAAGTTAAAAAAGTTATAGTACGCTGCTTGTTACTCAAATCCTCTGCTCTGACGAAGGGCTTACGCTCGAAGCGTCAGCTTTGAAACTCTTTTCGGTGGCCAATTTACATTATCAACTCAGTTGATAAACTCTAGTTGCCTTGTTACTCCCACCGACGCAGCACCACACTTTCTTTTGAAATTTACTCCCTTTAAACAAGACTTAGTCAGGTTAAGATCATGGTAGCCATGGAGGGCTTTTTGCAATGGACAAAGATCTTGCTGCGTTTTGGGTGGCATAAATTCTTCTCTCTTTGCAGCCACAGATACTGACACCAAACTTGGTCCACCAACTGTATTAGGCTACATGTACATGGTTTCAGGGAACTTAAAAGATAGTAAATTTTGTAAAATCTCACAATTTCCATTCATTTTTTTAATTCACCAGTATGACAGCTACTGCAGCAGCTATCGGTGCGGCTGGAATTCCATCAGCTGGTCTGGTTACGATGATAATTGTTCTTCAGGCTGTCAATCTACCAACTGAGGACATTGGACTAATTCTTGCTATCGACTGGTTCTTGTAAGTTTTATCCCTCGAAACATGTTTCATTCGGGTGTAAGAGATTCAGTTTATAATCTTTTGACAGGTGCAAATGTTTTTGTATTTTCCATCTTATGGATTTTGCGGGGTTGTCTCATGATTAAATTTACCTGATCCCCCTATGAGGCTCTGTTATATTATTTTGGCCCTCCCCCTACCCCCCTCTCATTGGCAGTTAATTAGTTTTCAATTTTCTTAAGTCCCCGCTTTATACTCCGTTTGCGATGACTAACCCTCCGTTCCTTCTGTAAACCATTTAATCCCCCAAAATCCTCCACCCCTCTTCCCTCCCTCGCCGATAAAAAAATGACTGATCCCTTAGCCCGTTTGAAATCTGAAAAAGAATAGGATCCATTCGAGTCAGTACAAATGGCTTTGACACGAGAATGGCTACAACAAATGAAATGAATCCAAAACAGTGTGTTTCAATATGTCCTTTTTGTACCATTAGGGATCGTTTCCGTACATGTGTCAATGTCATGGGCGATGCACTGGGCTCTGGAATTGTGGATCACTTGTCCCATGATGACATCCTTTTCTCAGATCAGCTGGACGCAAACGAGGATACACCACTGAAACATAACGGCGGCGCGCTGGACGGAGACGTTGATGAAGAAGACGAGGAGGATGACGACCCCATGAAAATGACGAGTGTTTAAAACCAAAAAAGTTACTGCACCCTTGAGTTTAATTTCATTACATCAAATGTTACAAGTAGTCTTGTTCGGTTATGTTTAGTATAAGGAAACGCACAACTTAGCGGTAACCGTGGCTTCAGCGAGCATTTGTAACCCTATTTTACGTTTCGAGTAGCAGATTCCACTCATATTAGTTTACTCACTCCCCGAAACTCTTGCTAATTGGGTAGTATTGAAAACATCAGATCTAGATGTTCTTTTCGAATTCGAAGCGTGTGTTTGTTGACGCAGACAACTGTCCACTTCCTGTTTATAAAAAGAAGCTAAGAGAATCCTGATTTTTGGAAAGCTTATCCTCAGGCTAGTTGCCCCGTTCAGAGCAGAGGATTCCCAGTCCCACTCCACAGTAACGCCCCAAAAGTAACAGTTCTTGATTATCCCCTAAGGAACCCTCCCATTTCATAGAGATGACGTTTTTTTTTTAAAAAAATTAATTTTCCACGCAGTTAGAATTCATACTGGTAATATCACGGGCAGCAATAGATATATTGTAGTCCGTGAATCTATACACTAAAGAGAGTGTAACTTACGCCAGATGGTTGGAAGAAGCCACATTAAAGTATAGGTTGATCAGTATTAAATGCTGACAGGGGATACGAATAAGAGCAGCTCTACCTGGGTCACTGTTTTATAAGCAAACATATTACTCGATAGCAAAGTAATAAAATAAATTTTGGACGGATGAACCCCAAAGTTTTTATCAGTTGTGTTCCTACATTTATGCGGTTGGCCTCAATCATTCACCAACTTGGTCAATGATTAGAAAGTCACGGTTGCTGATCTTTCTTTTACAAAAGGTGTGCACAACAAATCCGGCACTTGGGTGGGGGGAGGGGGGTGGAGGATATTCTTTTTGGTCTGATCGCTCCTGATTAGGCTTTATAGTTGTCAATGTTTTTGAAATGGAGTGTATGGAAGTTTATTTGACAAGTTCCACTGAATCAGCTCTTAAAAAAATCTCTGTTTAGGTTGTTAAAGATACTGTAGCCTACTACTGTGATCTCAAAAGATAGAGCTAAACATGTCACTGCAGCTCTTGAGTGACGAGCAGCTATATTACTTGAAGTTTGCCTCCATCGTGTTGAACTGACGAGTTTGCGAGTGCTATTCGTCAAACGTTCAAGTTTATGTGGGACAACACCTTTGGGCATCGCCCAGGATATGAACTGTGGGATGGCTCCACAGCAGTAAAGAACTTGTTTCTCGCCGAAGAGGGTGGCAAAACCAAAATTCCCTTACACCTTTTGCAACACTTAGCCTGCTTAGCTGATGAATTTGTGAACGTGTTGAGTTGTCAGCGGGGCTAGTTTCTGGCCCCTATTTTGGCCCAAAACTTATCCAGTTCAATGTTTTAGTGCATTCGAAACCATCTGTAATCCCCACCACTAATTTCCTTGTTTTCGCTGAAATGTACGTCTACTAGCGCCATAAAAAGTATCTTAAAGCTTTAAAATAAATGAAGTTAGAAATCGGTCTTCATCCTGATTACATTTTAACGAGCGTTCAGGTTAGTTCTGTAAAAACTCGAATTGTTAATATAGCAGCCATATCTTACAAGACTTACAAGTGTACCAGACAGTATTCCTTGTATTTCTTCATTCAGGGGGAGGGTCCTAGAATTTTGAAATAGGGTTTTCGATGGCGGTTTCCAGTTGAGATTTCGGTAATTTTTGACTTCTAAGTCATCGGAAGATGCGATTTCTGAAATCCTGAGGCCAAGATAGTGTGTTTTGAGACTTCACTTTTTTAAGAAGAAATTAGTTTAAGGGGTTCGCTCAATACCCCCAACTCCCCTTTCGCGCGAGAGAGATTATTTTCACTTTCATGATACGTCTTAGTATAGGTAATCGCATGGGGCCGAGTAAAATTAAGGATTAATATCACGCGTGTTTTCGTGTTGCTGAAATTGCCCAAGTCGCGCAGCGACGAGGGCAATTTCTGCAACTTCCGAAAACATGAGTGATATTAATCCTTAATTTTACGAAGAACCATGTGATTACTTGTTTAAAATATAAGGGGCAAAACGTTTTCTCACTGATCTCGCGAAAAAACGGGACGCCATTGTTACAAAACAAAATGAAATTTCTTTACCTTGGCAGCCGTTGCTAAACGATTTTCAGCCAGTCTTTTTCAAGTGATTTTTCCCGGGGCAATTACAAAAATTAAGAAAAAATGCCCTCTGTCTTGACCAACCACAATTCTGATATCATTTCCTAACCTATTTTTTACCATTCCTCAAAAAAGTGCCGCAGTAGGTTAAGATATATACCTATTTTTTATTTATCGTTTTAGTGTGCTCATTCAACGGATGTTTCATGCATAAGTGACTTTTACACTTAGAAACAAGAGTTCTTTGCTATAGTGCAGTCTGTTACGCAATCGTCACGCAATCATTTGCTACTTTGAAATTCGTAAAGTTTACATGACACGCACATGATTCAATGCTTTAACCGCTGTCCCATAATTTTCGAGCATTCGCATCCCACAAGATGAACTACCAGTAACGAATCAGTAACGAACACTACGATTATCCGATTATCTTACACTACCTCGAAGACTCGCCTTTAAAGCGAAAAGCAAACTGCAGAATATCCAGAAGAGTGAGCAGTAATGCACTGCCTCAGCCAAAATGTATAAGGTCGACTTTGATTAAAATCTGACCTGTTTACAGTTCAGATCCACTGATTCATAACTTCCGCTTTAGCACTCAACAATTCAACAAAAGCAGAGCAATAGGTAGGGTCTGTTTCGATAATTTTGTGTGTTAATATTTGTTAATTTTGTCTTTCACCGTGAATGGCAGTAATAACCTTTATCACAACAGTTCGTTTCGTATCACAGAACTCAATTCAAGTGAGTAGTTAGCCACCCAATTTGGTACCACTAACTTTGACACAATCCACCTCCAAACAAATGACCAAAATGGGCACAAGATTCGTTTTGCACGATTTTCTCTGACTCGTAACTCCAGGACTGTTTAATGTTTCCATAAATTTTATTGTGATGATATTTTCTGAATGTGACAGATTTTTGCATGACAAATCGACACGAGCATGATGCAGCAAGGTAATAGCTTTGGTGGCGAGAGGTCTCGGAAAAATCGGAGAGCAATTCCAATTGGTCAGTAGCCTTTTTTTCCCGATAAACTTGTGTTGTATTTTTCCTACTATGTCGTAGTAAGAATATTGCTGTTCAGTTGAATCATTTCAAGGAATATTTAGTTGTCAATAAATCACGTCGCGCCTTTACATAAATTCCTGTATGTTTTAAGTGTTTCGCGCGATTATAGTATTTGAAATGGTTGGATTCCCCAATCGTTTAAGATGGTCTTCTGTACTATCTCGTTTGATCTTGATTATGCCTGTGTCTTTATTTGTCATTCATCAGGGTCTCATCTATGAATAGTTTCTTAAGTAACCCTTTCACCTATCTTTCATGCAATAACTATGATTAATTATTATTTGCGTGTTAGCACCTCTCAATAATTTCCTCAACCAATGCCATATCTGTCACATTGTGGTTCTTTTTTTTTTACAACATATGTCAGCAGTTATTACTCGAAGGAAGCCTTAAATAAAATGTATTTCTCCTATTTTTTCTAGAAAATGTGATGAGCAAGGTAATAAATATTTCTGTAGCAGTCATAAGATAATCTCTCTTTACATGTCCTTCACCCGGTTGCTGAGTGACAACCTAGCTGGCACTAAATTTATATCCTTCAAAATAAACAGCAGTGTATGAACATGGAAAAGTCATCCTGACTTAGGTACACATAGGTTCAAGAGTTAAGGAGACTGAGAGAAGAAAAACTTTGGAAAAGAAATGGGGAATTCACAAAGGAACTGTAACAATATTTCCTTTAAATGTCGCATCCGCAATAGAACTACTATTCAGAAATAATTTTGTGAATAGAGTTAGAACTGCTATTCAGAAATAATTTTGTGAATAGAGGTTAAATCCAGTGAAGCTTCAGGAATCTTTGTCTTAAACTCTGCAGTTAAGAAGGGAATTCCCTCCTTTGATGAGTTACAGGAGTTGTTACGTAAGATTTCAATAGACTGGAAGAGTCTGTAGAGTCTTGGTCATCTCTTGACATCAGAGATGAAATTTAGACTTCCCAAAAAGCGGAAAATCAAAATCTCATGGAGAGGGTATATGCAATGTAACAACAGTGAAAGAATAAAGAAGTTTTATCTACCACATACATAAATTTACTGTAGCACCTGATTCTTTTTCTTTAATCTTACAGCTAAGCTGGGAGTGACTTTAGAAGTAAATCTCGCGATGTTGGTGCCTAAAATTAAGGTACCTTGGGAAAGACGGGGTTCAGCTCTCACACGCCGGGATTTATATGATGTCCTCTCTTCTACTAGATATAAAGATGTAGCTGAAAAGGTCTATGGTAAGTAGCCATATATATCATATCCCGTTTATCAGTTTAAACTTACCTAAAACCATGTAGCCTAAACATTCCTCTGATAAACTTGTCTTTGTTTTTGCTTTGCATCAGTTGTGTGTTCAATCAAGGTAGTCAACTGATTTTTTTTGTAATTTACTCTCATCTTGTTATCTGCTAGTTTCCAATTACAATTCACGGTGTGGGTGAAGACAAACTGAGGGAAGGCAACTTTGAAAGTGAACTTGAGAATGAAAATCAGGGCGCAAAATTAACTCTTTTTTTTCCGTTAGCCACTTGGCTCCTAAATATTTTAAAGTGGTAGCCAATTCCAAAAAGTTGGTGGCCATTTTGACACACACACAAAAAAATTTTGTACACTGTCACTGTACTAGATGGATTATCATACCATGGTGATACAGTCCTACAAACATCAAAAATGAGCCCGCTAAATTCGCACCAGCTACAAAGAGGACACTACAATGGATCATATACAACGTTAAAGATTACCTAAATCCAAGATGGCGTCTAATGGCGGTACAACTAGCGACTAAATACAGGAATGGCTCCGACCTCTAGAAATAGTAAAAGTTAATAAGTTATATCTTAACTCCTTGCACGCGAGTATTGTTTAACCGCGTGTCTCCAAGCGGAACAGTGAAATGACAATGCGAGCGAAAACACCGGTGTGTCAAACAAGAAATGGTTACTTACATAACGAGGGAGGGCCTTTCTTGCTCTTCGAGGTCGTTCAACAGTGATCCGGCGATGACTAAGTTATCCGCAGACAAATTTCTCTGACTAATCTCAATTGATCAGTCTGGGTTCAGTTCAGGCGAACGATCAGAGACTGGAGCCATTCCTGTATTTAGTCGCTCCAATTAGAGCGACTAAATACAGGAATGGCTCCGACCTGTAATTGGATGATAAAAATAGTAAAAGTTAATAAGTTATATCTTAACTCCTTGTACGTGAGTATTTCCTTTTTTCAGGTAGAGTAGAGTTGTTAAAAATTACCAAGCGAAATTGTAGTGATCCGCGGCTTTGTTCCTTTCGGTGTTGTGCAAAAATAGATGAGGAGCCCGATGAATGGATTTGTCTTTCATGTGAACAATTTTCCRAGAAAGTCAATGTTCCACGAAGAAAACTCCCTCGATTGCGGCCAAGCCACATTTCTCCAGCAGAGCATACTGTAAATTAAAAATATCGGTCGGAGCGTCACGTAACATTGCGTGATTTTCGAAACGTGACATGCAGTTGCTGCATTAAACTTTAGACATCACATGGCCTTGTATTAATTTATGAGGGCTCCATTCACAAGCATTGTAATGTTCAACTTAAGAAGAACTTAATAAAAAGCTCTTTCGATTTTATTTCAGTTTAAAATTTATTTCGCCAAAAAGAAAAAAAAAAGAAAATTAATAAACGAATGAGTCGGAGCCATTCATGCCAGTAGTGAAATACAGGAATGGCTCCAGTCTCTAGTCGTCCACCTGAACTGAGTCTGCACTGACTAAATGAGTTTAGTCAGCGGAACGAGTCAGCAGATGACTTAGTCCTCTCCGGAATAT